CCTTTGTATTATATATCAAGTAAATTTTGAATAGAACATTTTCCACTTCAAACCTTTGGTTTTTGCCTCTAAGAGTTTAATACCTCCATTACTGGGTGACCCTGTCTTGTTAATATTTAGAACCACCACCAAACATTCAGCAAGGTATACCTGCACAGTCTATCTAAATATGGTTTTCATGTTTATTTCTATCCTTTCACACTCTTTTATGACCTCATCTGAATTTATTTCTCCACATTTTTCCCTTCCAGGAAACAATTATTATTTGTTACATAACAAGGAAAAGCACAAACCTCAGTGTTGCCTCCGTGGCCAGTAGTTTTTCTTTTACTGAATCCTCAAGAAATTTGCATGCTGTATCCCACTGTTGTTTATCACTGACTGAACGATCCTCTAAAGCATTCAGCTGTATAACACGCAGAACATCTGCAGCCTGGGAAGAAAAGACAATGCCCATTAAAACATGAAGTGCTGCATGGGATAGGGATTAGCATTTTCAAAAACTCTTCAAATGTACAAGACAAAAACAAATCCAAAGAAGAGTAGTCATACTTTATCCTCCCACTCATGCCTCCGCATTGCTTCATCCACAACACAAGACTTGAGGTTGTCAAAGATAGTGTCATGATCTTTGGAGTGCTTGGCATGTTCCATAAACTTTCTAAATTCATCTTCCAAAGTCTCCCACCCCACTTCCACACACTTCTTAGGTAGCAACTGGTCTGCCCATTGCTTAAGCTTAATGTCTGCAGTAGTATTAAATGTACCTGAAAAAAATTATACACGTACAGGACTTATAACATCGATAATAACCCGTTTCATATAATAGTCTATAGAGAAATTTTACTTTATTTATTGCAAGATTAAACATATGGATTATGCTTGTGGCCCAAAAAGAAAAAACAAAAGTTTATGTTTTTAACCCTTTCACTGTCAGTGACATATAGGTAAGGCTTACAAGCAAGTGTTGGTAACGTATTAATAAACCAAAATTCTAGTGGGAGAAAGTTGGTAGACCTACATGTGAGAGAATGGGTCTGTGTGTTCAGTGTGCACAGTATAAAAAAAATCCTGCAGCACGCAATGCTTGAGAAAAAAAAAAAGCTCTGACTGTGTTTTCGGTTTAAAATGCCAACTCCGAGGTGTATTTTCGTATGGTATTTATGGTTGTATTCTCATTTTCTTGGTCTCATTTCATAGAATGGAAGATATGTTACAGAAATGGAGATGATTTTGATTGGTTTCACAATGAAAAGTACCTTGAAATTGAGCTAAAAGTAGCAGAAATGTTCGATTTTTGCCGATGTTCAAGAGTAAACAAACGATGTCACCCACTAATACGTATCCAACTGGCCAGTCTAATACGCAATCATGAATGGGTTGACATTATTTATACAATCATTACAATAATGCAGTAGGTGTGGAGTTAATAAAATTATTAGTCAGAGGGCTGAAGAGGGGTTGTTGAGGTGGTTTGGTCATTTAGAGAATGGGTCAAAGTAGAATGACATTATTTTTTTTTATTAACACACTGGCCGATTCCCACCAAGGCAGGGTGACCCAAAAAAGAAAAACTTTCACCATCATTCACTCCATCACTGTCTTGCCAGAAGGGTGCTTTACACTACAGTTTTTAAACTGTAGCATTAACACCCCTCCTTCAGAGTGCAGGCACTGTACTTCCCATCTTCAGGACTCAAGTCGGCCTGCGGTTCCCTGAATCCCTTCATAAATGTTACTTTGTTCACACTCCAACAGGACGTCAAATATTAAAAACCATTTGTTTCATTCATCCCATTAACACGCTCATGCATGCCTGCTGGAAGTCAAGCCCCGCACCAAACCTTTTTACCCCCCCCCTCCAACCTTTCCTGGCCGACCCTACCCCGTTCCCCCCACTACAGATGATAACCTTGAAGTCATTCTTTTTGCCCCATTCTCTTACATGCCCAAAACCCACCTCAAAAACCCCTTCCTCAGCCCTTTGGACAAAGTTTGGTAACCCCGCTCCTCTCCTAACTTCCAACTACGAATTCTCTGCATTATATTCCACCCCTTGCCCCCAGATGAACTCCACTGCCCCCAGCCCTTTCCTTGCTGCAAAATTATCACCATGCTTCACCCCTATCAGGCATTGGTAAAACTTTTTTCTCTCATTCCCTCTTGCCCCCAAAGGAAAAAGTTCTTTGTTCCCCGATCCAAAAGGGACGTACCCTTTTCCCCTCTCAATTCTATGATTCACCTCATCTTTCATGACCCATCCATGACCGTCCCTCCCAAAAATCTGAATACATTACCCCCCCATATCTCTCCCCCCAACGATATCCTCTTTCATCACTAATCTTTTTTCCTCATAACCTTCTCTTTCCTGTATTCACTTTTATTTTCCCTTCTTTTTATACCCCACCAAAAATTTATCACCAAAATCGCAACTTCTCTTCAGAATCTCCGAGCACAGTGCATCAGAAAAAAATAAATGTGACAACTCCCACTTTTTTAGTGATTTTTTTTTTTAAACCCGCCTCTTGCAAAAATCCTGCTGGAAGTCCCAAGCCCTCGCACACAAAAACCTCCTTACCCCCTCCCCCCAACCTTTCCTAGGCCGCATGGAGAGTGTAAAAATTCTAGGGGGGGGGGAAGGGGGGTAGGGTCGTCCTTAAAAAGGTTTGGAGGGGGGGGTTTTAAAAAGAGGTTTTGTGGGTAAAGGGCTTGGACTTCCGAAAGCATGCGTGGCATGTTAGATAGGGGGTGAATGGGACAGACGAGCTTTTGGGGTGTAGCAGGGTAATACTTAGTAAAGGGATTCATGGAAACGGTTATTTTTTATACCGACTTGGCCCTGGAAATGGGAAGTCAATGCCTGCACTTTAGAGGGGGGGTTTTGGGATTTTGGCATTTTGGGAAAGGGTTGTTGTGTATCTTTATATGTATATACTTCTAAAATGTTGTATTCTGAGCGCCTCTGCAAAAAAAGTGTTATGTTGGAGTGAGGGTTAAAAAGTTGAAGATGATGAAAAATATTTTTTTTTTGGGGATTTTCTTTTTTTTTGGGTCACCCCGCCCGGTTGTAGATGGCCCGACTTTTTAAAAAAAAAAATGCAGTAGTTGTGTAACAGTAAATTTATTTTTTGTGTGAAAAAAATTCAAAAAGGAAACCAAGAGTAATATAAGAGGGGCCCGGAGTGTAATAATGAGAGAAAAAAATGCTATTTTTGTGCCAGGAAGTTGCATTTTTTATTCTGGACCCTTTTTGAAAGTGGCAATTTTGAAATTTTTTGTAAAATTGGCCAAATTGCCAATTTCTGATCATTTATTGGGTGTTTTAAATAGTTGACTGGGTGATTTTTTGTGTTAATTATAAATGGAAAAAAAATACTTGTGAAATAGTAAGAATTTGGTTATTAGAACTCAAAGGGGATTGCCCAAAGCTAAATATTGTGACAGGCAAATTCAAGAGTGTAATTTCATCACTTTTTGATTTTAAATTTGTATTTTTTTTTTTATTACCTTCCAAAAAAGTTCTCCCTTTCATAAAAAAAAAAAATTTTTTTTAAAATTCTTGGACCCTGTGGGGAATTTTCGATTAGGGGTTGGACCCTGAAAGGGAAATAGTACTTAAGAAAAAACGGGAAAGCATTAAGAAACTGACGCTGAGCACCGCATTAAAAATTTTTTTAGTAATATGAGAAGGGGATAAGTGTCATCTTACTAACATTAAAATTTTTTAATGGTATAATCAAAAATTTAACCAAAATTTTGTTCAAAATTTAGTGTATTATAGATGGACAGACATTTTAAGAAAGGGATTTTACACAAATTTCCATTAAGAGCACAGTGTGAAGTTATCGTAATAATGTATCATACCTGAATTTTCAGTCTGAGCTGCAGGCAAATAAATATTTTCAAATATGTATGTGACCATTTTGTCCCAAGCTTCTTGCAAGTGCATTTTCCCCACTGCTTGGGTGAAACCTGCGACAAGTTTACCATTCATCCAATATATCACCTGGGCCTTTTCAAATAATTCATCGCGATCCAGTTCTCGAGTTCTGTAAATAACAAAAGGGTGCATTAACACAAAATTTGGAAAAAAAAAGACTGAAGAAACAAATTTGTACTAACAAAATGCAACAATAAGAGGTGAGAGGAATTGTATAGGATTCATCCCCTCATCAAAATACACACCAGTGGTTGTATCTAAGATGTTTATTACTTGGTAAAAACACTCTTTGACATTTAGATTCACAGACTGCCACATTTGAGGATGACTATGGGGGTTGTCAAGGATGAGAAATCTTGAACAGTGAACATAGCTTGACTGCAGGATTTAAAACAATGTTTGAATACTCAACAAACAGGGCCTCAGTTACCCATGCTTTCTCATTAGTCCCAAAAAACTGGCACTGTTTGCAGGGGAAGCAAGCTGAGACTATCCTTATCTGCCTGAATCTTAGGAACACATTTTTCCCTGCTTGTAATTCAAATTCTCAATGACAAATGCTTCAAAAACTTTTCACCTGTAACCATATCAACATCAATTCTTAGCCTAGCTACATTTTTTTCACTAGAATTTCTCAATCATGTTAAGACAACCTAGCAAAGTGTAACTGCATTCTATGTACTTCAAGACACCATACAAATAATGAACTATTATTTGCTTTCTCTCTCTTTGTAATTACCTTAATTTTTGGATGCTCTACAATTCAGTATAAAAAAATTAACTATCCACAGTAGAGACAAAGTTTTAAAACCATGCACAATTTTAAGGTTAACATTCATAATACAATTCACCTCGGAAAGGGTTATTTTTCCACTCAGTTTCAAGGTTAATCTTGTTCCCTTTAAAAAGCATCTGCCTGCTTTTCCCACAGTGTCTCTCACCATCTTCCAGAACATCAGAAACTGCAAAACTTAAGTTTTGGTTGTACACTGATGGCTGTTGATCACGCCACCTTGTTAGTAAGGAAAAAAATTAAATAGTTACTTATACTATGTTATTTTCTATTTTTATTATATCTGTTTCTATTTTATTTCTATTTATGGGGTGTACATAAAAAATATGCTGCAATTTTGCAAAGTGTGTTAACAGATCACTTGTCTTTTTTTTGTTTGTACCCGGTGCGTGTGCACTGCGTGCACATACACATGACCAGTGATGGGGTTTAGGGCCAGGGTTCCAATTTGACCCTGCAACCCCGAAAAAGGAGAATACAAATAGCACACAAACACGCACATAGAGTACAGACCATCAGATAAAAACGTGATGCATTACCACATTTTACAAAATTGTGGCATATTTTTGGAATACATGCCGTTAAAAATTGGTTTACACGGTGGAGTACATGTGGGGAAAGTGTGGCAAACATCGCGGTTACTTCCCCCTTTAGGGCAAGCCCATTGCTTTATGGGCTAGTGAGTGGCAGTGTGCCACTAGTTTATGGAAGCAGCAGGCCTACTTCCCTATGCTAGGCATGTCTTCACAAACCCCAAACCCCAACCCCTTTTCCTGTAAAGATTACTAAAAAGAATAAGAAGAAGAAAATTGTCAAGGTGGGAAGTCTGAATGTGCGCGGATGTTGTGCAAATGATAAGAAAGAGATGATTGTGGATGTTATGAAATGAGAAGAAGCTGGATGTCCTGGCTTTAAGTGAAACAAAGCTGAAGGGGGTGGGAGGGGGGTTTCAATGGAGAGGAATAAATGGGATTAGGTCAGGGGTTTTCAAATAGAGTTAGAGCTAAAAAAGGGAAAGTAGCAATAATTTTGAAGGATAAGCTATGGCAGAAAAAGAGGGACTATAAATGTATTAATTCAAGGGTTATGTGGAGTAAAATAAAGATTGGATGTGAAAAGTGGGTTATAGTAAGCGTGTATGCACCTGGAGAAGACAGAAGTGTAGAGGAGAGAGAGAGATTTTGGTAAATGTTGATGTGAATGCGTGGGGAGTTTTGAATCAAGTGTGAGAGTAATGGTGGTTGGGGATTTCAATGCTAAAATGGGTAAAAATGTTATGGAGGGGTAGTAGGTAAATTTGGGGGGGCCAGGGGTAAATGTAAATGGGGAGCCTTTAATTGAGCTATGTTAGAAAGAGATTTGGTAAAAAGTAATAATTTTTATTGAAAAAAAAGAGGATAAATAAATATACAAGGTATGATGTAGCAGTAAATGAAAGTAGTTTGTTAGATTATGTATTGGTGGATAAAAGGTTGATGGGTTTGGCTCCAGGTTGTACATGTTTATAGAGGAGCAATTTATATATCGGATCATTTTTTAGTTGTAACTACCAGTTAGGAGTAAGAGGTAGATGGGAAAAGAGGAGGTGGCAACAACAAGTAAGAGGGAGGTGAAAGTGTATAAACTAAGGGAGGAGGAAGTTCGGGGGGTTTAAGAAAAAAGTTGGCACAAAGGTGGGTAGTGCAAAGATGAGTAGTGGGGGGGGGGGGGGGGTTGAAGGGTTGGAATTTTTTAAAAAAATGCAGTATTAGAATGTGGGGCAAAATTTTGGGGTTTACATGGGTGGGGGCAGGGGGGGAAAAGAGGAGTGTTGGGGAATGATGAAGTAAAGGGGGTAAAAGATAAAAGTTAACTTAGAGGGTTTTTTTCAAAGCAAAAGTTTTTATAAGAAGAGAGGTATAGGGAGAGTAAAAAAAAAAGGTGAAGAGAGTGGTGGGGAATGAAAAAGGAAGGAGTATAGAGGGGAGAGGCACTGTCAGAAATTTTAATGAAAATAAGAAAAAATTTTGGAGGTGAGTTTAAAACAAGTTAAGAAAGCCTAGGAAAAGTACGGATTTTCAGAAAAAAACAGAGTGGGGATTGTAGATGGGGAGGGGGAGGTAATTAGGTAGGGGCGAGAAATTTTGAGGAACTTTTAAATGTTGATGAAAAAAGGGGAGACGGTAATTTCATGCATGGTCGGGAGGATACCATCTTTTAGGAGTGAAAAAAGGCAGAATGAAAGTGGGGGGGAGGTCGCGAGGCATTATGAATGAAAGGGGGTTTTAAAAAAGCAGCTGGAACTGATGGGTATGACAAAAATGTTAAAAGCAGGGGGGGATATAGTGTTGGAGTTTTGAATTTTTTTTAAATAAATTTGTGAAAGGGGGAAGGTACCTGGGGATTGGCAGGGGAGATGTATAACCCTTTATAAAAAGGGGGAAAGGGGAAAAAAAGAGATTGAAAAAATTATAGACGAATAAGTTTATTTATCCCAGGAAAGTGTACGGTGGGTTATAACTGAAAGAATTAGAGGGAAGCAGATGTAGGATTGGGCGGATGAGCAAGGAGGTTTCAGAGTGGGTAGGGGGTGTGTTGATCAAAATGTTTACATTGAAGCATATATTGAACGTATTTAGATTAAGGTGGGAAGTTTTTATTGCATTTATGGATTTGAAAAGGCATCATAGAGTGGATTGGGGGCAATGTGGGGGGATATTGCAAAATATATGGAATGGTGGTAAATTACTAAATGCTGTAAATAGTTTTTATGGGGGGTAGTGAGCTCAGGTTAGGGGTGTGAAGGAGGGAGATACTTCCCCCGGTAAAAATAGGTCTTGACGGGATGTGTAAAGTCCCATGGTTGTTAATATATTTTTAGTGGGGTTTTTTAAAAGAAAAAGGCTAGGGTGTTCGGGGAGGGGTGGGTTAAATTATGGGGATTTAATTCAAAATAGGAATTAACAGAGTTACTTTTTTTGATGATACTGTGCTTTGGGGATTTTAAAGAAAAAATGCAAAGGGTTTGGGGATGGTTTGGGAATGTGGTTTAAAATAGGGAAAATTGAAAATGAGCATGAAAAGGTAAGGGTGAGGGTATCAAATGTTTAGATAAGAAAATTGGATATCAAAATTTGGGGGGGAGGGGTATGGAAGAAGTGAATGTTTTCAGAACTGTATTGGGGGTTGACGTGTTGGCGGATGGATTTATGAAGGTTGGGAGGTTAATCTAGAAATTTATGGGAAAAAAAGGTGGTGCTGCATTGAGTTTTTGGGATTCAAAAAACGTTATCTAAGGAGAAAAGAAGGGAATGTATGAAAGTTAGAGTACCAACACTCTTTATGGGTGTGAAGCTTGGGTGGTAAAAGCAGCAGCGAGGAGATGGTTGGAGGGCAGTGGAGATGTCCTGTCTAAGGGCAATGTGTGGTGTAAATTTATGCAGAAAATTCGGAGTGTGGAAATTGGAAAAAGGGTGTGGAGTTAAAAAAGTATTAGTCAGGGGGCAGAAGAGGGTTTGTTGAGGTGGTTTGGTCATTTAGAGAGAATGGATAAAAGTAGAAGACTGGAAAGCTTTTTAAAAATTTAAAGGGGGAAGGAAAGGCGAGGTGGGGTGCCCTCGAAAGAGTTGGAGAGAGGGGGAAAAGGAAGTTTTGTGGGCAAGGATTTGGTTTTCCCAGCAAGTGTGCGTGGGTGTTTAATAGGAGGAAGGGAGCGAATGGTATTGGGCCCGCATCTGTTGGAGGTGGCAGGGTAATATTTAGTGAAGGATTCAGGGAAGGGTTATTTTTTATAGTGGACTGGCCCGGGAAATGGGAAGTACAATGCTGCACTTTAAAGGAGGGGTTTGGGGTTTTGGGCTTTTGGAGGGATATTTTGTGTATCTTTTAGTATATGCTTCAAAAAAATGTTGATTCTGAGCACCTTGCAAAAAAAAAAAATGATTATGTGTGAGTGTGGTGAAAGGTTAATGATGATGAAAACATTTTTTTTGGGGGGTTTTTTCTTTTTTGGGTCACCCCCGCCTCGGTGGGAGACGGCCGACTTGTTGAAAAAAAAAAAAAAAATTGTCAAAATTATTTGGTTTGAGTGGGTCTTTACGATGCTATTACCATGCCTTTGGTTCATGAATCAACCCTTGTAAATTCATGAAGCCCGAAGGAAATAAGAGATTGGGCAGAGTAATTTCATATTGTGACTGAAGGAGTAAAAAAAT